TTATAGCACCATCTGTCCAGAATAGCTGCTGCCGATATAGCCAGACTTTCCACTTTTCTCTTTCCCCTTCCTTAGTGTTTCAATTCTCTCATGAGAAATTTTCAGTTTGTCAAGGTGTGAAATTGATTTGCATGCATAATCTTCCTAACAGAAACAGCCTCAAGAGGGCACTGACAGCCCATGATTGAAGAAGAAGTCTTTTCACCTTGACCTGATAGATTGAGGCAGAGATCTGCTGCCTCAGGCCAGACTAGCGGTGTGTTACTGTCAGACTTCCGGAGCATTGAGACTCGAGCATGGTCTGGACTGAGAGTAGGCCTGTCAAGCCTGGTGCATGCTGGGAAAAGTCAGTCATCACTGGGGTCGATGCAGGAGCTATAGGGTGAGAGCTGGAGTCAGGATTGACCAGACCAGCAGGCTGCTGGAAGAATCAGAATTACTGGCCACTGGTGAGAGCTGTTCATACAGAGAACTGGAGGAGGTCTGTTTGCTACATGGCCTTGAACAAAATACATTAGTAGAACATTTCTGGACCCAAGCAATGAAACAGGTGAAAAAGGTTTAACCAAGCTGAGGGTCAATTAATTGGTTTATTCAACCCCAATTCTGGAAAAATATGGACTCTTTTTAAAGAGTCATACCATAACAAGGACTTATAAACCCACCAAAGGCCAACTCTCAATTAACTGAAGACCTGTACAGTTGTTAAATATAGATTATAAATTTCTGGCTCTAGCATAAACACATCATCTTAAACTAGGTGTGAACCAGATAATGAAAGAAACTGATAAATAACATCAGATGAATGCTGGGTGAGCCTGACTCTTCTTTCATGAGAACTCTTCTGTAGGGATACAAGCGAGTGACGGCGCTGTCCAGTGAAGGTTAGAGTTAGGTTTAACTGTGATGAAAATGTCCATTTCCACAGAACGCTGAAACAGACACACACAGGGGTGTTTCCCACAGTGCCCTGAATTCCAACAGTGTTAGAGAGGGTTTTATTTTCCAAGACCAGCTCTGGCCACCCCATATTATTGCTATGAATGGGTGGTTTCTATAGGCAAACACTGAAATGTAGTGCATACCCAGTACCAATGAGCCCATGGCTGAGGCTACATAGGTCAAAAATCTTTTAAGCCTTTGGGTATTAATATTTCTAAGATAAAATCAACAGTTCTCACATATACTGAATGCAATTGGAATCAAAAATCATTTCAATACTTACTGCTACAAAGAGATTCTATATTTTAGCAAGAATTCTTTTGACTAAAGCTTAAGATCTGTCTTGTTTATATATACCATACCTGCTCTTTATTTATCTGCCATTCTACTTGTAAAGAATTCAAAGTTTTTTTTCAGTTTTAATTGGAAAAAAGACATCAACTTCTAAAACAACGGTAGGGGTGATGTTTTGTTGATATTAGTCATAGAGCAAGAGCGAACTGGTTCGGAAGGTGTCAGAGTGCTTCTGATCCTTTCTGTGCCCCAGAATCACTCGTCCACTGGGGCAGTGCTTCGTCCTCACAACTCTTCTCCTCACACAGCTTAGTCTGGAAAACCAAACACACAGCAGTAAAGAATAATTCCTGAACCAAAGGAAAAATGATTTGACAACCAAGGAAATCTTCCCTCTTGTGAAAGACAAATGCATATCCATGATTTACTATCCAGTCCTGTATATTAAAATATAAGAGTCACAAACATCAGACTCGTCTTACCACCCGTCTTGCCCAGATCAGAAAAGAATGGATTTGCTCTGAAATAAAGAGACAGGGATGCTGCAGTCAGTTAATAAATTAGTTTATTTTACAGGCAAATGCAATACAGGTCTAGACAGCAGAGATGTAGACAGTTATTCTCTGCCAGAGATAAACATCCCAGCTACACGATTTGAGTCACAGTATTTTTCATTCTTTGGTCTGAAAGGAGTGAAGGAACTCCTTTCAGGACACTCCC